ATGCAGTTTTTTTCCTAATGCACTTCTGAAATGTCATGCCTGGTTTTCTCAAAGTACTGTTGCGGGAAGTAACTCCTTTTAACTACTCCAGGTCAGGTCAGGATAATCGAGATCAATCTTGCTACTGGTATCACGTAACCCAGTACCACCTGCCACAAGCCCTGCTGCCTTGCAGAGTGTGCTCTTCTTATGCAAAGGCTAGGAGAAATAAACTCCGACTAAAAATTCCCCTGCCTTGGGGCTCTTGGTTGAGTAAAGGCTAGAGATGGTGTCTCGATAAAAACACTCATCTTGGGCAGATGTTAACTGCATCCAGCTAAACATCCCCTGCCTTGGGGCTCTTGGTTGAGTAAAGGCTAGAGATGGTGTCTCGATAAAAATACTCATCTTGGGCAGATGTTAACTGCATCCAGCTAAACATCCCCTGCCTTGGGGCTCTTGGTTGAGTAAAGGCTAGAGATGGTGTCTCGATAAAAATACTCATCTTGGGCAGATGTTAACTGCATCCTGCTATTGTCTTGTAGAAGGCCTCCTAGGCAAAGACTTTAGGGGTAAGCAGAAAAATTCTGCTAACCAGCCTCGAACCCCTTCTTCATCTATTAGGCTGGCGTAGATGTAACCTGTGTTACATTGTTTCCTGCTTAGGATGATGAATGCTGGATCTCCTTGACTCTACTCATAGAATTTTGCTTATGCCTCCTTGATAATGGCTATGCAACTCTTCCTGTTATCTCCATATGAGGGTACAGCTCTAAAACTCAGTTTAATGGTTCTGAGGCCGGCTGGTAGTAAAGTTTCCCGAACTCTGTGGTAGCTCTCAGAGAGGCTGATTCCATCAACAGCTGCAAAATATCAGAGTATTAACAGTGCCATGTTGCGCATAGATGGTGTCCCTGTTAATGCTTTTGGTGTGCATTGTCAAGGCCACATAAGGAGCCCTATGTCATGGCTTAGGGTTAATTAACAGGACTGAGACAACTGCATAGCTCATTGATTAGGAGGCTGTGCTCTATCTATGAATGAGTCAAGTTCTCATTAAACCCAAATCATGACCAAAGTAACCAAAAATTTAAAACCTAAAAAACCATCCCCACCACCTAAATACTTTAATATATCTTTTACAAATATTCGCGGTCTACGAAGCAACTTTCCATCAGTTGAGTCTTACCTCCTGCAAAATTCACCAGACTTGCTTGCACTTAGTGAAACAAATTTAAGTTCTGCAATTCCTTCTTCAGATGTCAGTGTTGATGGGTACTATCCTTTGATTCGTAAAGACTCCAATAGTCACATGCTAGGTTTAGGGGTTTACATACGCATTAATTCCCCTATTTGTCGTGAAATCAGGTTCGAATCCTTTGACCATTCTTTTATGTGCTTTCGCCTAGCACCTCTTCACTCTATCACCTTTCTCTTTGTTCTTTATCGTTCTCCTTCTTCCAATGATTGCACTCTTTTAGATGTTATCTCTGATCAAATTGACCATGCCCTCTCTCTTTACCCCTCTGCCGATATTGTTGTTGTTGGTGATTTTAATGCCCATCACACTGAATGGCTTGGCTCTAAAGCCACTGATCCTGCTGGCACTAAAGCCTTTAACTTCTGCGTTTCTCAATCTCTTACTCAGATAGTTAACTTTGTGACTCGTTTTCCTGACAACCCTAATCCTTTACCTTCACTCCTTGACTTATGTCTTGTCTCTGACCCTAGCTTATGTTCAATTTCTCCCTTTTCTCCCTTAGGTGGTTCTGACCACGCAATGATCTCTGTAAATCTTTCTTCTCGTACTTCTTTTTTGGGCTCACCTTATCATCGCACCACCTACTACTACCCTAAAGCTGACTGGGATTCCTTTCATGATTTTCTTCGTGATGGTCCTTGGGCTAATGTTTTTTCTCTCTCAGCTGACAAATGCGCCTCCTACATAACCTCCTGGATTCAGGCTGGAATGGAAGCTTTTATTCCTTCTCGTCGGTTTCAAGTCAAGCCTCATTCTACTCCATGGTTTTCTCCTTTTTGTGCGGCTGCTATATCCAATCGTAACCATTTTTTTCATCTTTTTCAAAAGAACAACTCTCTTGAGAACAAACGGCTATTTATTATTGCAAGAAATCGATGTAAAAAGGTGCTTTCTGATGCTAAACTCCATTATTCTCAGTTCACTAAATCTCGAATCTTATCGCAGAAGTTAGGCTCTAAAGACTTTTGGAAAATCTTCAACAACATTGTTAACAAGAGTAGATCTAACATTCCATCTCTCATTCATGGGACTGATCTTGTTACCTCTCCCAGGGATAAGGCAGAACTGTTTGCAAAGAACTTTTCTTCTAATTCCACTCTTGAATCTTATGGACATTCTCTTCCTTCCATTCCAGTCAAACAGGTTGACCCTTTGTTAGACATTCAAATCACTCCGGCTTCTGTTGCTAAAGTCATATCTCAATTAAACTCGTCTACAGCTTGTGGTCCAGACAACATTCCTGTCACAGTCTTGCAGAATTGTTCTCCAGAACTTTCTTCAATTCTCCCTAAACTATTTAACAAGTGTTTGACTGAGTCTTGTTTTCCTGCTTGTTGGAAAATGGCATCTGTGGTTCCAATATTCAAAAACTCTGGAGAAAATTCTGACCCCTCCAATTATCGTCCGATCAGTCTTCTTTCTGTTATTAGCAAGGTCTTTGAGTCTTTGATCAACAAATTCCTCACATCTCATCTTGAGTCAAATAAACTGCTGTCAGACAATCAATACGGTTTTCGATCCTCTCGCTCTACGGCCGACTTGCTAACTGCTGTAACTGAAAGATTTTATCGTGCATTAGATGGAGGCGGTGAGGCTAGGGCTATTGCTCAACTTTATACTCCTGTCTTGACAAAAAGTCTTCTCTTTTCGATCGCCTAGAACAAGCAGCTGATCTTGAATCTGATCTCACTTCAGTAATAGATTGGGGTTCACAGTGGCTTGTGAATTTCAACTCTAAAAAAACCCAATTGCTTACTGCAAACAACTACCGTAATATGGTCAACATTCCTATATTAATGAATGGCAATCCTCTTACTGAGTCGTCCTCTTTACGTCTTCTTGGATTATCGCTTACTACTGACCTTTCATGGAAACCATATTACAATCGATTGCTAAATTAGCTTCTGCTAAGGTTGCTTCTCTTTATCGTGCTCGCCATTTCCTTACTTCTGATTCCATTCTCTACCTCTACAAATCTTTTATTCGTCCCTGTATGGAATACTGTTGTCATATTTGGGCTGGTTCTTCTAACGATTCACTTTCTCTTCTTGACAAGGTCCAAAAACGCATTGTAAATGTTGTTGGACCTGGACTATCTGCTAAGCTTGAACCTCTTTCCCATCGTCGTAAAGTTGCATCTCTTTCTCTTTTCTACAGATACTATCATGGTCACTGCTCAAAGGAATTATCATCTCTAGTTCCATCAACTAAAATTCATTCTCGTTTTACTCGTCATTCAGCTAAGTCTCATTCGTTTACTGTATCTGTCCCAGCATGCTCTAAAAACTTTTATTCATCTAGTTTTTTTCCCCGCACTTCAATCCTTTGGAACTCTCTCCCATCTTCATGTTTTCCTGACTCCTACAACCTTCAACTTTTCAAGTCTTCTGTCAACCGTTTCCTTGCTCTATAACTCTGTTCTTTTTTTTCCTAGTAACTCCCAACTTAATAGTGGTTGCTTGCAGCCTTGTTGGGAGTGAATGCAATAAAAAAAAAAAAAAAAAAAAAAAAAATAACTTTTTTATTTTATCTAAACCCTTTGGGTTAAATAAAAACTTTAGAAAAGATCAACGATTAATAGTTATTTATAATGTAACAATTTTTTTTATAGCATTTAAATTGTTAAAACATCAAAACCGACATGGTCGAATTGTAAAGAAAAATATTGTGGTCAGTCACAGCGTGCAATCGCATGCCATTCCTGTCCAAGCCTGCAATGCGTTTTTGCACCATGTCTAAAAGAGAAAGAGCATCATTGGAAGATGCTAATTTTATAATTGATTTGATATATGGTTTCCAAGGGTCTTATTTTAAAGCGTTACGCGTAGAGTGATTTACAAAAGCCTTAAGCGATTTTACGTAAGCAGTAAGCATTTTTATTTAAGCAACTTTTTATTATTTTTTAACTTTTAAATTATTCTATAAGCGATAAGATAAAAGAAGCATTTAATTTTTAAAAAAATCTGATTATCTTTTATAAGACGCTTTTAATTACCTCGTCTCTTAAGCTGTTTTTGATTGTCATCGAAATGTCAAAGCAATTAATTTATGCGGAAGTACATTAAATTTAATTGTTTTTTAAAAAATTTTTAAAAAACCGCAATTATAACGACTAGAAAGTTTTTTTTAATTAGTGGTGTTTTTGTTATTGATTTAATAAAAAACATTTTTTAAACATGCGTAAATGTTGCTACATCGACTATCTTATAGCCTGACTCGCAACAGAGTGCTGCTACATCGACTGACAAATAGCCTGACTCGCAACGGAGTGCTGCTACATCGACTGACAAATAGCCTGACTCGCAACAGAGTGCTGCTACATCGACTGACAAATAGCCTGACTCGCAAAGGAATGCTGCTACATCGACTGACAAATAGCCTGACTCGCAAGGGAGTGCTGCTACAATGACTGACAAATAGCCTGACTCGCAAGAGAGTGCTGCTACATCGACTGAGGGTTTGGTTTGGCCAGGCAGTCTATCAATTAAAAAAAAAAATTTAATTTTTAAAACTTTTTCTGGTCTGGTTTATTAACGCGCTCTTTAAAACTACAGTTTATGGGAAATATTTTTTGATGCTACGCAAGAGACATGCAAGACTATATATATATATATATATATATATATATATATATATATATATATATATATATATATATATATATATATATATATATATATATATATATATATATATATATATATATATATATATAAAAGAACAGCATAAGTGAACTTTTTCATTATAAAAAATAAAATACCATATCATAACTAGAGCAAAAATAGCAATCTTTTATAACACGATAACCTTCTCCACTAGCACAAGTTAAATTGCTCATATTATTTTGAACAGTATACCCAACAGGCTTAACACTGGGAAATACAAATGCAAAACCTTTCACTAATAGTAATATCACACATAGTATTACCACACCAGCAAAAATTCTGAAAATTAAAAAGAAAAACAGTTTAAATAATGCCAATATAAGATCAGCAAGAAATGAATAATACTAAATTTTTAATTCAATTTTTAATTATTTCTAGGTTTAGTAAACAATACTAAACAAATTTGTATTACATATACAACAGTATCTTTTAAAATATTTTTATATCACTTCTAGAACCATATCCAGCAATAGTTTCAATAATACTGTTTATGTAATCTCTTTTTATCTTTCTATTCCTCTGCCTGTAACTCATCGCAACTACCAGTGTTGCAAAAATAATTTAACTCTATACATATATATAGTTCCTAATGGGTCTATTTAAATTTTTTATATTTAACATATTTTGTATTACAATTAAATTGTAATACAAAATTTATTTTGTATTACAATTTAAGTTGTAATACAAAATATATTTTGTATTACAACTTAAATTGTTGTTATATATCTGTATATAGTTCCTAATTACTCTATTTAAAGTTTTGTTAGAATATATAACTTATATATATGTATATATATATATATATATATATATATATATATATATATACATACATATATATATATATATACATGTATATATATATACATATATATATATATATATATATATATATATATATATATATATATATATATATATATATATATATATATATATATATATATATATATATATATATCAAGCCTTCCCAGGAAAGGCGTGCGGTTTTTTGTCTTGTATGACCACACGCGATTATAATAATTTAGAAAACGTGAACACGGCCGTTTGCAAGTTTTATAATAATGCTGAAAAAGTTTTATAAACAAAAAAACAAAACTAACAAAATAAAAAGAGATTGAAATAGAAAAAAATAAAAACAAATTAATAAATTAAATAATTTGTGTACTGTTTTTATTTTTGTTTCTTTAGAGTTACATTCAGCAACAAAATTAAATAAGGCAAAGCAAAAAAAAAAACGGTTTGAAGTCTACAATAAAAAGAATTATTTTCCTTTCCTTAATTTTTTTTTAAGAGGATAGCAAAAATACAAATTGCAATGTGTTTGTAAAATTTATTTGTATAATTTTAATGTAACAACAAGGGTTGAATAAAGCGAACGCAAAACGCAAAATCTGGAAAAATATCTAGTAATCAAAATTTTAGTTTATACAAAACCGTGTTCCTTGTTTTTAAAGGGAGAATCAACTTAAATTTGTTAGCAAAAAAAGAAAAGAGAAAACAATAAACTTATGATTACAAAAGTAACAACACTCTAGTCACTAACTGCATTACAAAAGTAATAACACTATAATAGTGTTATTACTTTTATAACGCACTTATAACTTTTAGAATTCATTCTTTGTTCAAGCAACATTAGTATTCCCAAATTTTAATTGAGGTAGAAAAATATCTAGAAGAATAAAGCGGATGTTCAAATAATATAAAAACTAAAGTAACTTATAAAAACATGACATACAACTTTATGAAAACGTATCGTATTAAAAGTTTAGCATTATGAAAACGTTACTAGTGGACCGTAAAAATGCGCATTAATTTTAAAATTAACCAATAAAAATTTTTTATTGGTTGATTTTATAATTAATGCGTGTTTTTATATAACATTTTTCATTATGCTATACTTTTTTTAAAGTAACGTTGTTTAAGCGATATGTGAAAGTTCCTAAAATTTTTAATAATATTTGAATATCCACTTTATTTTTTCTAGATGCTTTTACTAATAAATGTTTTACTTAAATAAATGTTTGGAATTATTAATGTTGTTTAAACAAAGAATGAACTTTAAAAGTAATAAGTGCGTTATAAATGTAATAACACTATTATAGTTTTATTACTTTTATAATGCAGTTAGTGACTAAAGTATTATTACTTTTGTAGTCGTAAGTTTATTGTTTTTGTTTTGTTTTTTGTAACTTTCTCGCTAGCAAACTTTTAGTAATTTGCTCCTTGTAAACAAAGTACATAGCTTTGCAAGAACTAAAATTTTAAAGACCTAAATTTTACCAGAGTTTGCAAACGCGATCATATAATTTAACTCTTGATATAAACTTGTTACATTATAATTATACAAGTATATTTTACAAACAGATGATGATACATATTTTATCTTTCCTCTTTAAACGAAAAAACACATAAAATATGGGAAAGTCATCCTTTTTAACTCCTAAAACCATTTTTTTTTTTTTTGCTTTGACTTAATGAAATTTGTTGCCGATAATAATAACCACTAAAACAACACACAAGTTGTTTAAACTATTATTATTGTTTTCTATTTAAGTTTACTTTAATTTCTTATGTAGTTTTTAAATTTAAAACAATTTTTCTGTAACGCATATAATGTAACTTGCGCAAATAGCCTTGATCACGTTCTCTAACTTGAAAAACGTTTTCGTGGTGGTAAGAGAAAAAAAAACCCACGCCTATACTGGAAAGGCTTGATATATATATATATATATATATATATATATATATATATATATATATATATATATATATATATATATATATAAACACATACTGAAACTTTTTAGTCCCTGTGTAATAAGAAAATTAAATAATAAGTGTAATAAGTATATTTCACAGACAGAAGGTAATCCACTGTTATTCAGGGTGGTAGCCCTCCTATCGATCCATATTGTGCTCTGAATCAACTGTCAGAAAAACTTGGTCAACCATCAAGTGTAATAAAATGGTCACTCAAGCAGATTTCAAACACCTTATTGATAGGATTGCATCTCTTGAATTGAGACTTAAAGAAAATGAAGTAAAGCTCAAATCTAATGAAGAAAAATTCGAAGAAAATGATTTAAAATGGAAAACGGCTATTGAAATAAAGGATAAAGAAATAGAAGACCTTAATAATAGGTTAAAACATATAGTAGTAATACAAAATAACAGCACGCCAAGTAGCACCAAATGGTCAGACGTGGTAAGAGGAAAATTAAAAAAAACTGTTGAACAAAAAGCTCTAATAAATGTTGCAGCAAAAGAACTAACAGATAGAAGTGAAAAAAAAAAATTTGGTATTTTTTGGCATACAAAAATCAAATGCTATAGAAGCACTCGATGCAAAAGAAGATGATAAAACTTTTGTAGAAATTATGCTGAATAAAATTAACACAAATGTGAATATATTGAAGCAACATCATCTAAAAATGAGAGACACCAGTAAAATACCGCCAGTAATCGTAGAATTAGAAAGTGTCGAACAACGTAATGAAGTACTTAAAGCAGCAAAAAGGTTAAAAGCACTTAAAGAATATGAAAAAATTTCAATTAATAAAGACTTGACTGAATCGGAAAGGTTTGTGCAAAAACATTTAGTAGAAGAATGTAAGCGTTTAAATACTAACAACAAAGATACAAATTATTATTTCGGAATCAGAGGTGACAGTGTGAAAAAAATTACTAAGAAAGCTCAAGCATAGCCATCAATTTATTTATTAACTAATGATATTGCAAATGCGTGTGAGCGAATTAACTTAATAAATATTAATAATATTGTATCCAATGTTTCATTCAACTACTTATCTTGTTACTATACAAACGCTACATCGCTAAACAACAAAATGTCAGAATTTATAACTGATATAACTGTACGCAAGCACCATTTAATTTTTATTACAGAAACCTGGTGGGTAGACACCTCTATACCAAATATTGAAAACTATAGGCTCTACCGTAAAGATCGTGTCACATGCAGAGGAGGTGGTGTAGCCATATATGTACAAAACTCAAATAAATCCTTCGAAATCTTGGATGAAAAGTTATCTAACAATAATGAACAAGTTTTTTTTTTTTTGTTTTTTTTTATTTGCATTCACTCCCAACAAGGCTGCAAGCAACCACTATTAAGTTGGGAGTTACTAGGAAAAAAAAAGAACAGAGTTATAGAGAAAGGAAACGGTTGACAGAAGACTTGAAAAGTTGAAGGTTGTATGAGTCAGGAAAACATGAAGATGGGAGAGAGTTCCAAAGGATTGAAGTGCGAGGAAAAAAACTAGATGAATAAAAGTTTTTAGAGCATGCAGGGACAGATAAGTAAACGAATGAGACTTAGCAGAATGATGAGTAAAACCAGAATGAATTTTAGTTAATGGAACTAGAGATGATAACTCCTTTGAGCAGTGACCATGATAGTATTTGTAGAAAAGAGAAAGAGATGCAACTTTACGACGATGGAAAAGAGGTTCAAGCTTAGCAGATAGTCCAGGTCCAACAACATTTACAATGCGTTTTTGGACCTTGTCAAGAAGAGAAAGTGAATCGTTAGAAGAACAAGCCCAAATATGACAACAGTATTCCATACAGAGTCGAATAAGAGATTTGTAGAGGAAGAGAATGGAATCAGAAGTAAGGAAATGGCGAGCACGATAAAGAGAAGCAACCTTAGAAGAAGCTAATTTAGCAATCGATTGTAATATGGTTTCCATGAAAGGTCAGTAGTAAGCGATAATCCAAGAAGACGTAAAGAGGACGACTCAGTAAGAGGATTGCCATTCATTAATATAGGAATGTTGACCATATTACGGTAGTTGTTTGCAGTAAGCAACTGGGTTTTTTTAGAGTTGAAATTCACAAGCCACTGTAAACCCTAATCTATTACAGAAGTGAGATCAGATTCAAGATCAGCTGCTTGTTCTAGGCGATCGAAAAGAGAAGACTTTTTGTCAAGACAGGAGTATAAAGTTGAGTCATCAGCAAAAAGAGCTACTTTAGATGAAAGGTTGTCAGGAAGATCGTTTATGTAGATAAGAAACAAAACAGGGCCCAGGATGGAACCTTGGGGAACCCCAGAAGTTACTGGAAATTAAGAAGAGTGTTGGCCTTCAAGGATGACTTTAATAAACCGATCAGAAAGAAATGATTTGATAATCTCAAAAACTTTCCCAGAAACACCATATGAAGCAAGCTTATGGAGAAGACCAGCATGCCAAACTTTGTCGAAAGCTTTAGATATGTCGAGAGCAATAGCCCTAGCCTCACCGCCTCCATCTAAT